CCCCGGAGGACGTGTGTTCGAATCCAGCAACCACCGCGTCTTTCCCCATTATGGCAGCCCTTTGATTAGCCACTTCCCCTTTCCTGAAAATTGTACATTGCTAAATTCAATAAAAGGAAGTAAAAATGAAAATGAAAAAATGAAATACTACAAGACTGGCCGATTGTGATGCACTAAAATATTTTCTTTATGATCAAAGCACTGATGATTTCACCTCGGCTGGTGATGAAACGTTTGCAAACAAATTGCCAAGCTCGGCGAACAGGCGAAATAGAATTCAGTTCACCCGAGAACCGATTTTCAATATTTACAGACTTGTTCATTTAGTGAAAATTTCACTGGTCAGCGCAAACCGCCGCGCTCAAACTGACTATATTACCAAGTAGCAACTTTGTTTTCATTACCAGGGCGTTCATCAACTAACCCCGTTTCTACTAGTGATCATTGCCTAATGTTTGCTAGATTTGTAATCCACTCAATTGACAAAGACTAAAAATCTATTCAATACAGGCAGATTAGATTTCTCTAGCGTAACCTTCCCTTCATTTATATTAGTATGTTAAAACGACACTTACCACCACCAACTAGGGTGCTGGTGCAACAGTTTAGTCGCTGTGCTTTGGACCATTTGGCTCGACGTTATAACCCCGCCACCACCACCCACCTTTGGTGGTAGGCAGCTTTGCTTTGGTTCGGTTCAATACCACGCCTAACCTAGCGTGGCCTTCTGTGTTTGGCCACTCAAAGTCTCGGGTTTCTACCACTGAACAGCAAGTTTTCGCCACGTAATCATCATCACGCTAAAGTGTGTAATGAAAGGAAAACTAATTTGTCATAATTTTATTTAGCATCTTCGCGCTTAAGTACTGTCAGTTTATTTACTGTAGTGACAGCATCAACCCTGTCCGCAGTGTACCCCTTATATATTCGGACCTTGTTGTTTCAACGGACAAAAACCATCCAGTTGTTCATGGTTCGTTGACTTTCGCTTTCTGCGCATTTCTCTCTTTCTCCCTCTGTGCTCTAAAGATCATACCAATATAACCGTCGTTGAAGTTTCGTGATATCAATCGTTCTATTTTTGGTTCGTTCCTTCGTCGGTTGCTCTACGTACGTACATTTAGCACCAGGGTTCATGCCCCGAAGGAAGGGGTGGATATCCACTGCCCGTGATTTCTTACAAAGACAAAACAGCTACATTGATGCTCCACAAGTTTTCATTGATGTAAGAAAACTACATTTTAATGAGCACGCGTATCACAATCCCAGATCCGTTGGGCAATGATAGACCTGGTTAGCGAAAGAACCCATGAACATGCAAATGTGAGTTTAGCGGAATCGAGACTGTGTTCTAATTCTTCGAAGAACAATTTGATATCACCTGGAAGTAAGACATGACCTGAATTTTACGCTACTGGGTGGTTTTTAGACACCGGTAAACAGTTAAGGCCCAATCCTTCCTGTCTTCAAATGAGATGAAGTAAGGATTGTTTCCTATGAGAACAGCAAGNAGAGAGACATGAGCTACTTTGATAGTCAGATGGTTCCAGTAACCTGCAACCAGCTCCTTCTTCTCAGAGCAAAGTCATCCTCTAAATACAAAGCCTCCTTAGTGAACGCAACACTGGGAAGCTGACCGACGAGAATGCAAGAAACCCGTGTAAGATTGCATCACCTCATTTACATAATTCAACAACGATGAAGAGCCTAGAATTAAGATACAGACGATAAAGAATATAAGAACCCCACGACACACGGCTGAAGAACATTCTAGACATCTCTGGACGTACTCTTATGCGTGCGTTGATCTCAGCTACGTAAACTACAAAGAGTGCATCTGTGTTAAGATCAGTGGTAACCGAAATGGATATCGTAACCTTAACTGGATCAATCGCGCTTTGCAACAGCGTAAACACTAACAGCATAGTTGAACCACTCGTGCTAGTTCATAAACAACCAACCTGGAGCACAAAATACCTGACTGTAGTAGTCTCGTACAAGGTTACACAGTATTCAATTCAAGATCCCACCTTTTTTAGATACACAGGGATTAAATATCGATTTTGTATTTCACCACTTTTTTCCTTCATACTGCCGAAAGATATTAGACGGTCACTGGTTGTCCTTTTGTTGCCTAACATTGATATCACCTGAGTGTAAACCTCTGCCTAAAGGCGTATCTCTGATAGAAGCAATGTTTACAAGGAAAATCCGAACACCATCCAACGTCATTCTGCCGCAGCCATACAGTGACAAAAAACTTGAAGAACATGGACCGCTGTTAAACCGGTGCTATGGAAAGTGAAGCCGACTGTTTGAGTGACTAGAAATTGCTGGCGAGAGACTACTGAAACAATCAGGAAGGATGGATGCCTGACCATGTAGAACGACGGCAGGGATAGGTGATGTAAGATGCCTTAGTTGCCTCTGATGTATGGTTGTGGCATGTTTACCAGCTAAGACCAACAATCTGCAATGGGGAACCAAAGCAGTGGTTAAAAATACTCGTGGACACCTTTTCCATGCCCCCCTTTCCGGACCATCAACAACCCCTCCTGTATTATCGTTATTATTGTTTTGGCGTTGGCACCATGCTCGTCTGTAAGCCGGTGTCAAACATTATATATATATATGCGCTCTCACTCATCTCAGTCCACGAGG